ATATCCTAATGGGTATCTCTCTCAAATAAAGAAGCTGAGATCGAATGATGATACAACAATGGTTATCCCTCATCTACCAAAGACTCAGGCAGTACGATCACTTCTAACAAATCTAAGATGACGCAAAGATCAATGACTTGTTCAAAAGGGAAATGAATAAGAAATAAACAAAAAGCCCTGCTAATTCCAACTTGAAAACAAGCCGCTTAGGCAAAAGTTGAGGCATCCCGCTGGACTTCCAAATCGAAATTCAAAAGAATTTGTCCAGGAAAAAGCTAGGGAAAACAAGAAAAGGATTACCAATGAAAATCCCTATCAAAAGAACAAGGTCGTGTGATCAGACACCAAAAGCAAATGGTGAAATAACTGTCGTGTCCAAGAGGCCTCAGTGGTTCCTCAACCATCGCAAACTCTTCTCGAGAGATGAACGCTTGTGTCAGGTCAACTGAACGTAGGAATGGAGAACATCATGGAGAATAGGCGGGCACCAAATAATTTTGAGCCTTAAATAGTTTTTTCTTAAACCGTGAACTAGGCTACGTTAAAACCCATAAAAGTCCTAACTGAAGCATGGGTCAATTTGAAAGCGTGCTACAACGAGATAGCATTTAAGTGACTCCTAAGAGGTATGTTTAAATATCCGTGTTGGCACCATATGCTTGCATTATCTTTCTTAAAAAATAATTTTCAAATGTTGCTCTCTAGCTAGTGACTAGTTCACAACAGAGTTGTGACATCATTTATTCAAAGTTTTTCAAACTTCAAGACTTACATACATGTTGCATTAGAATTATCATTCTCATAATAAACATTCTTCTGCATACAAAACAACCGATTGACATCAAGTAAGTTTACACAATGAGAAATCAATAAAGAGCTCAATCTTGTCAGAAAAGATAGGCTTGAATACTCTGTTGGAGCAAGAGTCAGCTATCACAAGAGAAATGACTTATCCAGGGGCACATTATCCAGTGATTCTGTAAAGAGAAATCATATTGGTGCTTCACAGTATGAGTACCCTTTAGGGATGAAGTTAGTAGATTCCGCCAATCCGGGGAAATCAAGTCGAGATTCGATCTCTCCGAGGTCAGTCAAATCAGGGGTATTCCCTCAAAGCTATCAATCAGAGGCTATCACGTCAATAAATCTCTTCAAGCTATACTCAATCAGAGGCCTTCACATTGATAAATCTCTTCAAGCTCGACCAATCAGAGGCTATCACATCGAGAAATCTATTCAAAATTCATTCAACCTGGGGCAGTTACGTCGAGATTCGATAAATCTATCCAAGAAAGCTATAATCAAGAGCAATTTATTTCGTGACTCAAGACATTGGGGCAGGACACCTCATATCGTATTATGGCACGGATATTCTGATCTTCTATTAGACACAGATTCTTTCAGAAATCCCACAGGCAGGGGCATTCCTCATCCGTAATTGCAAAGTTGCTCAAGCCAATTATGTTGTACAAGACGAATCAAGCTAAAAGCATCATAACGGTCACCCTGACCTCGCCAACACATGAAGCTGCCTTCATATACTACAAACAAATTCAAACTTGATTCCTCAAGTGAATTCATAAAGTTCGAAGTCGCCGTTTGACTTGGCATGCGCAGGTGCACCCCCAATGGAGTTAATCGAAGTGAATCCCTAATGGAGTTAATCAAGTGTATCCCCAGTGGAGTTAATCAAGTGCATCCTCGGTGGAGTAAATTGGGGCATTCTCAGAGTTAAACTGGGGCATTCACAGACGTCCATGCCCATCTTTTATCCCCAGGAAATTCAAGAGGTAATTCCCCAGTGCGGCATAAACTTGAGGCATGTATTCGAAGAGATCCACATGGTGTTAAGTATCCGTTCCTCGGCATATCCAGTTCTACCATCCTCTCAATGGTCCATGGTGTAGGAAAGTCGAGCCAAATTATCTCTTCCCCAATAATACAATTCATAATTCAATGGCGTACCTGAAAACTCATTTCGTCAACAATTCAACCTCTAGCGGAGTCACCAATAATCTTTGGTATCATGGGCTCCCCAGTGAAAATTCTTATCAGTATCCCCAGTAATATTTGGTACTACAGGTTTCCAGCATCAGTATGTATTGGCATCTCGGGTGATGAGTAACAGTTTCCAACAAGCAAGCCTTCGCTTATCCCCATGACGTCTATTTCTTTGCATTGCATATATTTATCATTGCATAACATTGCATCCTCAAAAGCGCATAGCCGATTCATCAGAATGGATCTTTGTGGAAAAAGAAATTCAAACATGCATACAAAGTATAAGCCAAATCAGGTACCCTACACGAATGACTTGAATCATTCAAAAATAGCAATACGTCTCTATAAGAGGATATCACTCCCAAACCCCCAGCTGGTGACTTTCACATTCAAAATTCCCAGCTAAATCAATACACCTTGTCATTCTAAACCCAATTTTCGTCTGATCCAGTTCCCGTCTGAAAAATAATTCAGTCTCCAAACACTCGTCCGTGTCGGTTTCCAAACACTCGTCTGTGTCAACTCATAAACACTTATCCGTGTCAGTTCTTCAAACACTCATCCGTGTTAAATCTTTCTTTGATACTCGTCTATATCTTCTTTAAATTCCCGTATGTATTGATTTGAACACTCATCTGTGTCAGTTCTCCAAACACTCGTCTGTGTCAGTCTCCCAAACACTCGTCCGTGTTTAACCTTTCTTCGATATTCATCTGTATCGATTCAAACACTCGTCTGTGTTATACCTTCCTTGTATTGGCATCACACTACATTACAAGTTCGATCTCTTCCTTGTATTGGCATCGTGCTACGTTACAAGTATGATCTATTCCTTGTATTGGCATCACACTACGTTACAAGTCTGATCTCTTCCTTGTATTGGCATCACGCTACGTTACAAGTCTGATCTCTTCCTTGTATTGGCATCATGCTATGTTACAAGTCAGATCCCTTCTTTATATTGGCATCACGCTATGTTACAAGTTTGATCTCTTCCTTGTATTGGCCTCATGCTACGTTATAAGCTTGATCCCTTCCTTGTATTGGCATCACGCCATGTTACAAATCTTCTCTGTCCTTGTGTTTACATCATGCTACCTTCCAACACTCATCGTGTCAGTTTCTAAACACTCGTCATGTCAACTTCTAAACACTCGTCGTGTCAATTCCTCTTGGCCATCGTGTATTGATCGATGTCTCCCTTTTGGTTATCATGTCCTGATCGATACCTCTCCTGTGAATCATCGTGTCCTGATCGATGTATTCCTATTAGCCATTGTGTCCTGATCGATGCGTCCCTTTTGGTTATCGTGTCCTGATCGATACCTCTTCTGTGAATCATCGTGTCATGATCGATGTATTCTTGTTAGCCATTGTGTCCTGATCGATGTCTCCCTTTTAGTTATCGTGTCCTGATCGATTCCTCTTCTGCGAATTGTCGTGTCTTGATCGATGTATTCCTGTTAGCCACCATGTCCTAATCAATTTCTTCCTTTTGGTTATCGTGTCCTGATCGATTCCTCTTTTGCGAATTATCGTGTCTTGATTGATGTATTCCTCTTAGCCATCGTGTCCTGATCGATGTCTTCCTTTTGGTTATCGTGTCTTGATTGATACCTCTTCTGCGAATCAACGTGTCCTGATTGATGTATTCCTTTTAGCCATCATGTCCTGATCAATGTCTTCCTTTTGATTATTGTGTCCTGATCGATACCTCTGCTACAAATCACTGTGTCCTGATCGATGTATTCCTATTAGCCACGGTGTCCTGATCGATGTCTTCCTTTTGGTTATTGTGTCCTGATCGATACCTCCTACGAATCATTGTGTCCTAATCGATGTATTCCTGTTAGCTATCGTGTCCTGATCGATGTCTCCCTTTTGGTTATCGTGTCCTGATTGATACTTCTCCTGCGAATCTTCGTGTCCTGATTGATGTCTTCCTTTTGGTCATCCTGTCCTGATCGATACCTCTTCTGCGAATCTTCGTGTCCTGATCGATTTATTCCTGTTAGCCATCATGTACTGATCAATGTATTCCTTTCAATCATTGTATCCTGATCCGTGCTTTCCTCTCAGTCATCGTGTCCTGATCGATGTACTGTGATGTCGTCGTATCTTGATCAGCGTATGCCTTTGGTTTAGTCCCACCTCTTTTAATTCCCCAACAGGTACCACAAAAATAAATAAACACTCGCACCACCTTTCAGAACAAATTTTTGGCATTGATATTTAATCATCTTCTACCTCGAACATCCAAAAGGAACACGCCAATCATACTTTCAGGTTTAAGACGATTAAATAGGGGCAGCTATAATACTCCAAATTTGTCCTACCCTCTCACTTTTATCTGACTTATGCATTTTACATTTTTTATCATGTACATAACCTTCATTAGATCATCTAACACATAATGCTTCATTAGTCAATAATTTGGTATGGGATCAGGGATTTCGAGGAATTAGGGTTGATGTATGGCTTTAATGCTCTCATCTTCGCACAAGCTTGTTTCGGTTGATTTTTCCATCAATCATTTGTTTGAAGCTAGGGTTTTATTTCCTGGACTGCTTTATCGTCAAACTACAAGTGTATTCTTTCTTCTCAACATCAAGTCGCAATATTTCTTCATGGCTTAAGAATTAGGGTTTTTGTCTGTTATGCTTCAACTGGGGATCATTGGATTAGGGCTCGATCTTGTGGTTATCTTGAGCATCTCCTTCTCCAACGTTGTGGACTTGTTTTTAATGAAACAATTTTTGGTTCTCATCAAATACTTGCCACTTCAATGGTAGTCAAAGTGGAGTAAAGGTCTTAGGTATTTGCTTGTTTGAGAGTCTAACTCAAGCAAGATTGGAAGACTCATATGGTTCAAGTTACCATTTTCAAAGTTCACTTGATTCATCTTCCATTATTCAAATCTAGGCATGGCATATAAATGGATCTGGTTTCAATTCTTTGTGAAATATCAAATTGGATTCAAGTTTTGAAGCGAGGCGTCCCATGATAAAGTTCAATGTCAATCTAGGAAAGTTAACTTTTGGCCAAAGTTCTATTTAAATCTATGTCTGTTTCATTCAAGTTACAAGCATAATGGAGGGAAAATATATTTCAAAGTATGGTTGAAAAAGGATTCAATATATTCAAAATTTAAAGGAAATTATAAAGGACAATTAAGTTCACAATTCAAGTTACCTTACAAAGTCAATCTCATTACAAGAAGAACCATCACATATTTCGTGTTTCAAGACCATTCCATTTCAAACCATATTTCCATACACAATACTTTCCATGATCGAGTCATGTTTGATACATATCCAAGAGATTCATTCTACATCATTCAAATAAAACTATACAAATAGAAAATAATTTTACTTCAAAGTCATTCCAATATACCATTCCAAATGTATAGAAAATCATATAATGGAAAATGTGTCCTAAACCTATTTCTCCTAATCTTAAGTCTCATCATTTTCCTAAGGCATGTCATCCAAGCATTGTCAAGAAATCCATCTTTGTTCCTTCCAGTTTTACACCTTAGTCATGCTTCAGTTAAACCAAAACCTCCACAAACCAATACATAAGTCATGTACCAGTACATAACCGAGCATAAACCTTTAGATAGCCAACCTAATATTGCCTCCATGTAAAAATCCAATACAAACAATTAACCAAGTATACACAAACTTCAGCTCTACATCCATCATAAAAATAAGGCATCAGTTCGTGATAGTATATCGACAACACCAAGCTATAATTGACCAATTAAATTTTGGAAAACTAGAAAACACGACACTTACTTAAATCTCAGCAACCCTGTTTAACAGAAGAAACAACCCCTAACCTCTGTTTCAGTTAACCAAAAACCATAAACAGATTTACTAACAGCAAAAACTCTTAACAAAATTCCAACCTCCTCTCTAACTAACCTATAACAGAAATTTTTCTCTAACAACCTTGTAACTAACTCCTAACTATCAAAACAAACTCTAATAGAAATTCTCGGGAGATGACAGAAGCATATAACAGAAACAGAAGAGGGAAGGAGGATTCCTACGGAAGAGAACGCCAGAAAGAAAAGAGGGATATAGCAGATCATAACAGAAAGGGAAGAGGAGAATAACAGAAAGAAACAGAAAATAACTAACCTCCCAACCAAATTACCTCTAACAACCTCTAATAGATTTCTTAACTAACTTCATATAACAAACTCTAAACTGTATAAGCCTCTTGTCCTCAATCTTCATTCATTCACGATCATTTTGGACAAATCACCAGAAAATCTTCACTCTTCTGGCTTCTCATCTTTTCTCTTTGAGTTTCCATCTTGGCTCTGTCTCCAACCTTAGATCATCACCTTCAATTTCTTTTCACTCTCTCTGAGAAATTACACACACTACAATCTCCATCTTCTTCAATCTTCATCAATGAATTGAGCCAACCTTCTCCATCTTCATCAATTCTGCGATCGAATCTCCATTTTCATCTCAGAAATCGCACGTCATCATCACCACCATTTTCTATGCAACCTTCTTCAAGAATGAGCATCTTCATTAAGAACTCCACATCATCTTCTTTCGACTCAGTCTCCTTCATCATTGTTCAATATTCATCAACAACATCGTATCATCAATGGTCAATTCTCTCAATATTTCTCTGAATCTGCAACAATAACAAGTCGCATAGAAGAATAAAAAGGAAGAAATTAGAAAAGAAGAAGATCGAGAGAAAAATACGGAGAAGTAAAAGCAGTGCAAGCGTACTATCTACCTTAGGCAGAATCAAAGTTCTCCTAGTTTTAGCGTGTTCTCCATTAATCTCGAAGGATCATCGGAATCGCTCCGGTAGGTAAGCCATCGTCTTACTTTTTTGCACTTGATTCTCGTTTTCATGGTATAGTTTGCATCTCTTTGAATTTACGGTTCAATCTACTATCTTCGCAATTAGAATTGTGTTCGAAATCAGAGATGGAGGTTAGGTCGAATTAAGAAGAGGTTGGGGCTGTGATGTTAAGGCTAGAGCGAACGGCGGCGACGAGCCATCAATCGCGGAGAACATTGCTCTGAAGAGTATCATACCATTTACATGAAGGAAGATTTTACATGAAGGAAGATAAGAGAAGTAAGCCTGTATTCAGTAAGTTGGAGGGTCACAACTCGAACCCTAATTCGATTTCTCCCAAATGCACCATTTTAGTTGTTTAGTATTTTCTTTTGTTTTTTTATTAAAATCTGATGAGTAATGTGATGGAGTTGAAGCATTGGGCCTGAGTACCTTTGTCGCGTGTTACACCCCCCTGAGGCCCAATGCCACACATTTTGGTGATGGAAAGCTAGTACAAAAAACATCTATTGGACTTAATTTGATTGGCTTAGCGCCTTGCTTCATCACACCATCAGATTTCAGTTTTCTACCCCTGTTCATAATTTTTAGATTTTTCTGATTTTCTTCTACCAATTCTTGTTAAATAGAGTTAATGAGTTTTAGGAGATGATAAAAATTATAACCAAATCAATAAAATTTTCTAGTTTTTAATCGATTTTTTTTAGGAACCAATTTTCTAGTTTTTGGTAGGCTTTTATATAAAAAATGAATAATAAAAAAATAATAGAAGATAATAGAAATTTTTAGGAATTAATTCTCTAATTTTTGGAATTTTACTTACATAAAAAACTAATAATAAAAAAAATACTTTTTCTCTTTTAGTTTTATCCGCATTTTCGTGCTGTTTTGCCATGTTATATTTTGATGCGTTTGTTCATTGGGTAAGGTACATTTTTTGTGTGCTTTCGATCATGTAACACAACAGGTAGTTATGAGACTGAAGCATATGGCTTATGCTCACTAATGATGCAACACACTTTATTTCTCATTGTCATGAGAAATTCATATTGCATTATAAGTTGGCCTGATACATGCGACACTTTATGATGTCTTGTGCAGGAACTTCTGATTACGTATTGCATTCGCAACACGCGTTTGCTTTTATCTTAGTTGGATATTATTTCTGACTTTTTTTATTTCTTGGCGAAGCTTGCTCGATGCATACTCCTTGCTTCTCCAGTGCTTTCGTCTTCTCTTGACGATTTGCTCGCTTTTGGTTGTCGCTGCTACTACCTTCGTACTTCTTTGCACTTTACTACATTTATTTACCGCTTTTCTAGATATCATGAGAAGTAGGATTTTATTGCTTTCTAGATACCATGAGAAGTAGGAAATAAAGAGCGTGCACTCAAAGTCGCTGTTTAAAGACCTATAGCGGGCATTCCTCACTTCATTTGCTATATGTGTTGTGCTTGTGTTTGTTCTGTGGTTGTTGATCGATGAGTCACTCCATTTAGGAATTGAGATCACGACTTCACTCTCAGTGCATGCTCCCTATAGGATTTTATTGCTTTCCTTTATTTCTTGTTGATCAGTGAGTCACTCAATTTAGAAATTGAGATCACGACTTCGCTCTTAGTGCATGCTCTCTATAAGATTTTATCGCTTTCCTTTATTTCTTGTTGATCGATGAGTCACTCAATTTAGAAATTGAGATCACAACTTCGCTCTCATTGCATGTTCCCTATAGGATAAATTTGTTAGACTTTCTTTGGCATGCTAACCTAGATAGGATCTCTCTAGGTGTGCTCTCTTGAGCTTATTAGCTTGTTTGCTTTATCCTTGTACATACCATGTTCCCTTAGGACGTGCTTGCTCCCTTCAGACGCAAGTTATACTTTAAGTTACAAACCATGCATGCTAACTTTAGGTAGAGATTCCACTTTCATCCTTGACATATGGCCACCATTGTATGATAACATTAGGTTAGAAATAGGCTAGTCCTCCTTAGACTTTTTTCTTCCCCTTTTGCATATGCATTTAAAATCAAAACTCTCTTTTCTTAGCAAATCATAAAACATGCTAACAACTTAAACCCTTTTTCAAGGTGACAAAATACAAACCAACTCAAACCTTTTTGTGCGTCGAAGCACCTTTTTTCTAAAAACCCTTTTCAAGCAAGGACATGATTAATTTACTTCTGTGACAACTCATAAGTCTCCAAAGTTCGAGCTGTGGCAGAAGGCGCAATTAACATTGTTCATACAAAATACAAAACAAACAAAAACATGTTAGCCGAACTACGGTAGCTCTGATTCCTCAAAAAGGATACGTAGGCATTGGGGTAGGGCCCAAGTGAGTACAAATTTATTTTCCCTACATTTTTTTCTCATTTCTTTTGCATGCATTCTTCCCCAGTAGTAAACAGAAAGCATAGATTAAACACACCCATAAGATAGATATCAAGAGTGGATACCATAGAGTATTACGGGCGTGCGAGGTGCTAATACCTTCCCCTTGCATAACATACTCCCTTACCTGATCTCTCGGTCGCAAGGCCGTGACTTCTCCCTCCTCAGGTTTTCTCGATGTTTACCTTTCCCTCCATGTGGGGTAAAAGACGTTCGATGGCGACTTCAATGTTTGATGATTTTCAGCCGGTTGTTTCACCAGCATCACCCCCTGTTAACAGCACGCCTGGGCTAGAACTTCTATGCTTCCTCATTTTACTTACAAACATCCTTTCCACTTTCTAAACCCCCTTACTTTAATTTTATATTTTTATTTTATTTTCTTTCTTTTATTATTTTAGTATCATTACTATTATTTTTAATTATTAATCAAAAACACCAAAACTATTATATTAAATATTTAAATTATTTAGTTTATTTTTATTTAACTTCTCAAAATAAAAAGATCCAAAAACATTTTCCTATTTAATTTCTTTGCTTTAATTTAATACTAAACTTAGATTTAGTTCATTCTTTTTGTTTAAATTAAAATTAACTTAGTTTAATTTCCTTCTAACTATTTATATTCTTTTAGAAAATTAGGTTAAAATATTTTCTTAAACAAAATCAAAACAAATTCATTTTCTTTTCATTCATGTCTTATACATTATATACATTTAATTTCTTGTACATTATTCAAAGTTCAATATGGTTGTAATAGATAATTAGTTTTAATTTCTTGCAATCCCCATTTGTATATTTATATCCCCCATTCCCCAAAAATGATGTAATAATGTAGGATATTTATTTTCCACAATTTATTGCTTTCATATAAATGCTAGTTAATTTAGGGTTTGTATGGAAATATAAAATCAATGCTTTGAAAACCCTAATTCAAGATAAATCAAGCATGAAATACAAACACTTGCACACTTTTCACCTCTAGGGTTAACTCCACTTGTTTCCTTGAGAAAATGGTCATGATATGCATGTGATACACCTTAGCCAAAACAAATAAAAAAATACAAGATCATAGTTCCTCAATGACGCTTCGAATGTTGCCTTTAAAATTATCTTAGACCCTTAAG